AAACAATTGCAAATAGAGAAAAATTGGTAGGTATGAAAAATTTGGAATTTTTCAAAAAAATTAGAAATTCCAGTAATTATTCGTGATGTAAACGCTACGAGATTTTACCTAGCCGCTAATAAAGGATATTTCAATTCGTATTCCGTAGGTGTGAGTGTACGTAGTAGATCTGTGAAGAGAAAATTTATAAACCAATTGCTATCGAGTTCCCCGTAGTGGAGAAATTCGCAAGTCAAAAAATACAGAAAACTGCAGAAAATTAGACCAATTAAAGATTTTATACCTTTGCTTGTTATATGCAGAATTTAACACAAATTTGTTTCAACAAAATCTGTGCCTTCTAATATCCATATACTGACTTTAAATCCTGTGCAGAAAGGTAACTGCGGAACGCTAAATTTGCTGCGTTGAAATCTGCCGACGTATATAGTAGTTCCAATAAAATTACCTTCATGTTTATTGATTTTATCAACTGATATAATTCATTCCTAAGCAATTCCGCCTTTGGGCGTTGATACTGATACAACTCCTGGTCGGATAATTCAATTTAATTTATTTCACATCCAGGTTTATGATTTGGTCAATCTTCAAAAGTTTGTGGTATAAATCATACCTTTTTTGGGACTTGTTAATATAATAAAGGAGCAAAATACATAGTAATCACGAAAAATTCGCCGCAAGCAGGTGGCGGACACACACTGGTCGCCATTGCTCTTGCACCATACTAGACAGATGTCGATCGCTTTCATCGTGTATATGTGCAGGGCCGTATTCGAATTCAGCGCGGTCCCCATACTGATCGCATTACATAAAATTATTTAATTGTAATAATTAGTTATTGATTTCCTTAACTTGAATATATTTAATTGTAACAAGTAATAGTGGATGAATTTCTTGAGTATATATGATTTTTCAGATTGGAGGAGCAATTTCAGGATTGTCCTTAATAATTAAAATAAATTACACATATAGTCACCAGAAAATTTAATTAATTAATTTAAATTAAAGTGTTAAGGGAATTATTAGTTTTATTTATTACAATTATTATATTAACGTTTAAGTTATACATAAATTCTGATTAGTTATTCTTATTAAATATATACTTTTATTTCAAGATAATTGATTCGACTGAATATTTAGTTTATTAAATTGGAGTTCAAGGTATTATTCTTACAATTTAGCAATTTTAACTTTATGAATTCTTTCAAAAATTTTTATAAATATTAAGGAAGAAAATAAATGATGCTTATTATTAACTTACTTTGTAGTATTGGTTGTATTATATTTATGTATTTCTACAATCATTTTATTCCTTTATCTTGTATTTGAAGCTAGATTATTGATAACTTTCTGTTATTAATAAATTGAGGATTTTCAATAAATCGAATCTTAGCTAGACATTATTTAGTTTTCTATGCTATAATTCTTTCTCGGTCTTTATTAATATATATTATATTTTTATTAAAGGGAGAAAATAATTAAAATTTCAAATTAATTTAATTATGTCATCATAACATTAATGTTTTTATGCTTCTATATACTTAATACATTCCTGATTATTAAAAGCACACGCTGAAGCTCCTTCTTATGGATCAATTATTTTAGCTACAATTATATTAAAATTCGGAAGCTATGGATTATTACGATTAATATATATTTTCAAAAATTAAATATTACATTTTAATAATTAGATTCATAGAAATATTAATTCCTAGAATTATATGTTTAGGTCAATGAGATATAAAATTCTTGTGTATTGGACATACAAGTGTGTGAGTACAGGTTTTATATGTGTGAACGTTATTAAGGTAGAATGGACGAAAGTTATTTGGTAAGACATAAATATGTGCGAGTGGAGTCTAGTGCGAATTCTGATAAAAATTTTTTAGAAGAATGTGCCAGATAGAACCAGTTACGTGAGAATCGTGAAATAAATAAAATTTGCCTGAATTTTAAAAAATTTATTATATTATTAACACGCGCTTGTATTTCTTGGTATACACTTTCGCAATTACTATATCGTATTCGTAATATTATTAAAATAATTATATTTAATTCAGAAGAAGTTTAATTTTATATATTATATATATAGGAAATATTCTATATGATTTGTGCAATTTATTAATCTTAAAGGAATTAGTAAAGTTCAAGGTCTGAAGGATACTACACGAAATGGAATGTAAGTTACTTAATTTGTCAATAATGTCCATATTAATATAACAGTGTTAATGTAGAAAATACGTAAGCTAGAATAAGAGATATAAGAATGATTAAAACTATTGAAACATTTTGAACAAAAAATGAGAAGATAAACAATTTTAAAAAATTTGTTAAAGAATTTCTGAGTAATGTTAGAATTAAATGTCAAAATTTCAAATTTGCTAATAATCGAATTGAGCAAGCTATTGATAGTGCAATATTACTAATATATTAAGTATTTGCTACAAAATTTATTCAACTAAGAGATGAATTTTAAGTACCAAATTATTAACAAAAATTTTAAATTATTTTTTGCAATACAAAAAATTAATATGGATCAGAAAATAAAATATATTTATAAATTTACAATTAAATATCTAGTTGAAGTAAAAATGCAAGGAATTAAATGTTAAAGGTGCATTAAGAGTATATAAATTAGTAAGCGTAGAAAATAATAAAAGTTAAATTTTATTTATATGCTGTTGTAAATTCTTGAAATATAATATATGGAAATTGTAATCGAATTAAATTACATTTACTTGAAATTGTTCTAGGTACTTTGGGATAAATAGAAATTGGTTCGAATCGATTAGGAAAATAATTATAATTAGATATTGGAACAAATATTTCAATAAATTTATGAAATTAATTTTCATCTTTCTATATTGTTACCTTTACATTAAAATTTTGATTAGTCAATACAAAATTAAAATTAATTAATAAATACATTGAATGTGCTATATATAAATGAAATTATTAATCATTTAATTAGTAGTATTTGCGGAATGAAATTTTCACTGAAAGTACTTATTAATTATAACACATTAGATGTAAGAAGTCAATTCTTTAGATTAAGACATAAAATAGGAGAATATCAAAAATACCAATTTCATATTAATTTCAAATTGACAATTCAACGTTACCTCAATATTTATATAATTCTGAAATAAGATAAATTAAGTCTTATTTTCAATTCAATTTAAGGAGTATCTTATCGATGTTTTTCCGAATAAAAGTACCACTTGGGCGTTTAATAATAATTAATTTTGCTAAAATTCATACTTTCAATAACCTCAGTGCGATGTATATTATTTTGATCCAATATATTGGAGGGACTATGATGGTGGTAAATAATAGTACTCAATCTATTAATTAATAATGATGGATTGAGAATGTGTGGTTACGGTAAGATCTACGAACATAAATATGCCAACTATTACAATTACAACTGCAACTTAAGGTTATAGCTTGATTCCACAACACAAATACAACTAAACGACTGATAACATATACTTCTTTCTATACAACTCCGTTCTAAGGACTCGTCAAGAACTGTCCCAACATAATTCTACACCAGAACTGTACACGACATAACTGTTCGTTTCGCGCCCATGCATCCCTGTTTAAAACCATGCACTCCATCCTCTCCCATACCCATGCTCTCCTTCCCAGTCACGCTTTCCCACGCACACTTTACAGACTTGCTCTCAGCGTGTCACGTAGCCCAAACATTTAGACGCATCCTTAGAGACACACTTCACTTGCAATCAATGGATTCTAAAGCATCACGACCACACGATCCTAGCGTACGGTCATTCATCCTTCGTCACGCACCCCAGAAAATATGCTCAAGATAAGCCCAAGCTTATTATCCTGCGATACCACAATATCAATAAAATTTTCTCTTAACTTAGTTACAGAAATTATATTATTAGTAATCTTAATCTTTCCATATAAAATTATTGTTTTATTTTCAATTTTTCAGTTTATCAAGATTTATTTCTTCTATACATTTATTTAGTTATTAATCGTGGAATATATTATTTGAGATTTAATTTAATTCCTGGAATATTAATGAAATACTAAACTTCATTATTACACTGAATCCCACTAAATTTATCTGCATTTAATTTAAATTCCATAAATTAAGTTCATTTAAATAGTTTAATAACAAACACTGGTGCGTGATAACTACAATTTAAATAAATTTTTTTAAATTATTGTAAAGGTAATATTTTTCATTACCTTACCTTTATATAGTTTAATATCAATAATAACAAATTTATATATATATCTTTTTCATGGTGGTAAGAAAGCGGAAGGAACGCTTCGCTACTGTGGACGAGGCATTGGAAGCCGTACATGATGTCGGGGACATGGAGCGCATGGTCCGTCCCTCGCCAGTGCGCTGCCCAGTATGTTGATTTCAGTATTATCATCGACGACCGGGCAGCTAAAGCCCCCAGCCGCTTGAACATATAATGGAGAGGAACCGTCAGCTTGTGCACTATGAGCTGTAACCTCCACATTCCTCAACCAGCCGGCCCGGAACTGTTGTGCACATTACATAGGGCCGGCAGGAGTTCCTATCCTTCACGGCAGTCGCGTCTTCCTTGTCTTCTTTGTCGTTCGGACTAGCACGTGAGTCCTTCAAGTGCCCGACGGCTTTCTTGCCTTCGAGTACTTTTGTCACTTATCGTGTAATGTCGTTCCAACTATCCTTGCTTCTCATCATCTCGGGCACGACGTTGTCCGGTGAAATGTCCCTAGTCATCGTCTTAGGTCTCTGTCTCTCCACTGTCCAATGATGGCACACAAAGAACGTATGCACCGCGTCGTCTCTGTCATGTCCACAGTACCTGCAAGACAGAGCAGTAGCCTTCCCCGTCCGGTACAGATACCGACGGAATTATCCGTTTCCAGAGAGGAGCAGGGTCAGGTGAGAATTCACTTCCCCTGCCCTTCTCCTCGTCAAAGGTCGTACGACCCTTATTAGGCTTCTCGTCCATATCTCTCTGTCGTTATCGGTCCAGCGGGTTTGCCAGCTCGTCAGCTGTCCTTGCTGCTCTGGCGGTCATTGTCCTTCCCTTTTCTTCGCTAGACTCGTAGATACTTTTTCGCTCGAGGTCTAGGAGATCTATAGGAATAACCCCGGCGATCACAAGCACCGCCGCTTCTGAGACGTAGCGGTACGCGCGTGCAATCCGTAACGCTCCACTCCTCTGTACCGCTGTGATCGTTTTGCGGTACTTCGCGACTAGTGACGCGGCTGCCAATATCTCGGCTCCGTACGGGATGATCAAGTGGAACACCGTCATTAACAGTATTCGCATGCTGGGCCTCAGTTCCTTCATGTTGGCCCTGAGGCGGCATAGTGCTGCGATTTCCGCAGCGGCTCTGTTAGCGGCGTCCAAGGTGTGCGACCAAAAGGTCATCCTCGTATTCAAAGCCACCACTGATACGTGGCGGACCAGGCAGGCCTCACAACGGACGTACCCACCACCATGGGAATCGTCGTGTCAATTCGTTTTCTTGTCAAGTAGAGGAATTCTGCCTTTTGCGTCGCCAGTTGTAGACACCGGCTTTGCATCCATTCGTTTACCCGTCTCGTGGTTTGAGTCAGACGTAGCTGAGCCAGACGCACGTCCCAGATCACTATGACAATGGCCAGGACGTTCGCGTATGCTACCAGGTAGAACCACGTTGGCGTCAGCAGGTTCAGAACTTCGCAGTATTCACTATTCCAGACATGGATGCCAAGGATCGAGCTTTGCGCTAACTCGGCAGTGACTTTTCGTGTCTTGATCCAGGTCTCCGTCACATGCGTGATGTGTCGGTCCAGTAGATAGTCATTTACAACCCTGAGAATTTAGGCCGGCAACAGGAAGGCAGTGGTAAATGCTTCCAAAATGTCGGCCCACACTGCTGAGATGAAGGCATTATGTACGTCTATTGTCGCCAAGAGCCTGTCCTTATGGGGTCACGTCTGTGCTCTGTGAAAGGAGTGGAACACGTGTAGGATCGCTCCTGTTTCCGATAGTCCTTTCCTGAGTCTGTGCAGTCTGTCGTTCAGACTACCAGCGACCTGGCCAGCCTGCTTTATGCGCGGTCTGTGCATCATTTCAATAAGTTCGCTCAGTTTATTGAGTAAACTCAACAGTCTGTAGAGTGACGGCTACTCCGGATCCCCGAAATTTTGCTTATCTATGAGGATAAACCGGCCGTCTTCCAGTCCCTGATGTACACACCCTCCCCCAGGTATATGTTATACAGGTCCAGGAGCAATTCCGGGTGTCGCTTTACAAGTGTCCCGAGAATTTCCACGGAGACGCCTTCCGGACCACGTACTTTTCCCACCACGAGCTGCGATACAGATTCACTGAGATCCGCTCGTCAGAACTCAGTCACCCCGTCGTCGCCGATATCATTCACCGTCCACATTTGTTCAGGGTGCGCCGGGAATAAACCTTCGATGATTTTGTCCATAGTTTCATCGTCTCTGAATACGGATGGCTCGGACCGTCCCAGGTTGCGGGTCACAATCTTGTAACCCGTTCCCCAATGGTCCGAGCCCACGTCTAATGAGTTCAGTTCAGCGCTTCTTTTCACTGCCATTGATCGCTTACCTCGAGCGCTGGCGTGACGCCCGGTATTCTTCCGTAAGCCCCCAGCAATTTCTCGGTGTCCGGCGCGTTGTGCCCTCCATGGGAACAGTAAACACTCGCTCCGGAGGCCCACGATTACATCCGTCCGTCAATGCACCGTCCCAGGCTGCGGATCTCCGCTCTCCGTCGCCAGGATCATAACAGGGATGCCCCCTACGACAAGGTCCTGCAGCCCCTAGGGGGCGAACAAATTTGTATATCGTAATATACAAAGTTATAATTTTATATAGTGAAACATTTGTAGAATAAATTAAATAAAAATTAATTTTATAGTTTATTTCGATACAAAGGTATAACATTTCTATCTTTAATTTGAATTAATAGTTCAATAGTTTTAATATATAGAATTAGATACATTAATTTAGAAAACTATTTAATTAAACTATTTCCTTATTTAATAGTTTTGCTTTTAAATTCTATATGTCTTCTAATTACTAGTTCTAATATGTAATCAGTCGTTATTGGATGAGATAGATTAGGACTAACTTCTTACTGTTTAAATATTATTTATGGAAAGAACAAATTTATTTATTCTGTAATATTAAGAATTCTATTAAGTCCTTTATGAGATTGTTCGTAATTAATATTCATATCAATCACAATAGTATTGGGCAGTTGAAATTTAAAATTATACAGCCGACTTATTAATCATAACGGTATTCATTTAATAATTTTTACAAAGGAGCACAATTACCATTTGGTATATGATTAGTAGTGGCAAAAATAGCTGCTACTCCGGTTTCATTATCAGTTCATTCTCCAACATTCGTAACAGCTGGAATTTATTTCATACTTCGTTATGAAGAAATATTATAATTAAATTTAAAAAATTTAATTATATTTATTTCAGGATCGACAATAATATATTCTATAATTTCAGTAAATTTTGTACAGGACAATGAAAAAATTATTACATGTTCAACTTTAAGACGATTAAGACTTAATAAAAATTTTATCCAGAAATTTAGAGGATCACTGATATAATACTGGTCTGAAGAAGTACCAAAACTTTTCCCAAGATGTACTGAAGGTGTGTTAAAACCTCTATAAAATATAACTGAACCGCACAGAAATTTTACGTAAAGTAACTTGAAACTACAATGAAGCTGTTGTGAAACTGTTCTGTAGCAGTACTATAGCCTTACTGCAGATGAACGGAAAATTTGCTAAAAAAACTGAAACTGTAATCAAGAAACGCTGAAGCGGCGCAAAAATTCAATTAAGCTTTTCTGACAATTATCTGGTACTCCACTATGACTTTTCTCAAGATCTACTGACGCTGTGTTAAAACCGCTATAGAATCGTAATGAAATTGTACTGGAATTGCACAGAATGTGTGTCAAACCTGCAATGAAGCTGTTCTGAGTCTGTTCTGAAGCAGCACTAAAACTTTACTGCAGATGAACCATAGTTTTTCCGTGAAAGAGATGAAACCGTAATCAGGAATTACTGAAACAGTGCGAAAACTGCAATTCAGCAGTCCTGAACACTGATCTAAAGCTGTACTTAAAGTTCTACTTAGATATACTGAAGTTGTACTAATACTACTAGAAGGTGGTACTGAAACTGTACTGAAATCGCACTAGTTGCGTGTGACGTTGATGTCCATGACGTACGAACTGTGAATAGACTTGGACGTGTAAGTAATTGTAACTAATATGCAACCACGTAATATTACAATCTTTGAATAAGAATAAACGAATTAACCGATTATACAAAATTGTGAGCACATATATTACAATTTCTGCATAACATGTAAGCACGTATATTATGGCCACAGTATAGCAAATACTGTTTTAATGTTAAGGAATACGCCATAAAGTTATGTTATATTCACTGAGCGAGGGATCTTTGTAAGCGAACTATATAATATAAGCAGGAATACCATCTCCGCAATCGGGAAACGTGCCAAGACTCGCGAGCAGCTCCATTCCTTAAACCTCGAACTGTGCGCTACCCGCGGAAATCGTATGAGCCTCTTACTCCTCCGCCTCAGGATTCGAGACCGGCAAGAACGACATCCATAAGGAACCCCGATCGGTAGTGTATATACTGCTGAATACCCGGTCACGATATACATGGGTGTAGGTGATGAGCAAACCAATATTCGGAAAAAGCCGATGCTCTCGCACCGACCCAGGACCTGAGGCCAGAGGTACCATCACGCCGGACCGAAATCGTCGCGGCCACCAAGCCCTCTGCGATACCCAGCGTCGATATAATATCTCTCTAACTAATAGAATCAAGCAAGTTAATGATTGACACAGGCTCCGAGCTCAATCAAATCCAGCTCTCCGCGATTCACCCCTCAACGTGTGTCGACACTACCGGAAAACAAACGCTACAAGGTGTTATCGAGGTCGAGGTCCGAAAACTGGGTCTGCGCAAATTGAAATTTTCAAAGCCCCAAGTAAATTCCACGTAGTCCCGTATTCCTTCCGCTTACCCGCAGAAGGGATCCCTGGTTTAGCCCTTCTTGCCAAGTGCACCGTGATTCCCTACGCGGAAAGGTCCCTGAAACTGGAAGAAGTAGAGATCCCCTTCCTCCACCAGTCAGAACTAAATGCGTTCATTGCGATAACGCCGCCATGAAGGGCGATAGGCTACGTCGCGATAGAAGTTGACGGACCGATCTACGCTTATCTGGAAAAGGTGGAGGTTACGCCTAACGTAGTAAAATTTGATTGTTTGGAAACAAACCGCTCCGGCACAGCATAAATTTATTGCGCGAACTTTAACGAAACCCCTAAAACCTTAACTAGGTCGCGCATGATGCTTCACGACCTCTCTCACGTCTGCGACTCCATTCCGTCCCTCGAGCAGGTATGCCCTTTTCTGTCAGTAAGAGGCGTCGTGTCTAGGCTAGACAGAATGCCCTACGGGCTCGACCTAGACGAATAGTGTCAACATTCTCTGAAATAAGGTGGACCATCTGAATACCGAGGAACGGGAACGAGTGAAATCATTAATAGAGGTATCTCAGTACATATTCTGTTTAGCGGACAACAAAGTGGAATGTGTTATCGTGGCAAACAATAGAATAAGGTTAAAGGATGACAGTATATATACTCACCGATACGTAAACTCGTGATCGACAAGCAGAAGCATGAACTGCTGAATAACGATTTCCCCATACTATTCTCCATTATGGATTGCTCCAAAACAGAGCGAGGGCCACAAAGATAGGAAGTGGAGTTTTGTAATATATTATAGAGCGAATAACGAGAAGTCGGCCCCGGGCGCGTACCCACTGCCTAATATCTCCGGAATATTAGACAAGCTAGACAATATGAAAAATTTTAGCTGTATCGTCCTGAAAACGGTTCCCATAAGGTACTTGTGCATGCCAAGGTCACTCCGCAGGCCTCGTTTTCAATACCAATCGGGTACTATGAATTCATACGAATGGCATTCGGCCAACGAAACGCACCGGAGAACGTTCAGCTGTTCATTGACTGCGTCCTGCCGGGCCTAGAGTGTACGGTTCCTTTTGTGCATCCCGATGACATCCTTATATATTCAAGTTCCCTTAGGGAACCACCAATCAAGTACGACAATCTCACAGACAGTAGAAGTGCAGCAACCCTGAAACTCTTGCCGTCGAAATGCAGCTTCCTCCATAAGGAAGCAGCGGCTATGAAAGGTATAAGAAGCGGCCGCGTGTTTCTAGGCCTCACTGGGCATTACAGGCGCCGCATTCCGAAATTCTCACAAATAGACGAATCACTGACAGAATTATTAAAGGAAGGCAACAAATTTACGTTGACAAA